GAGCAACTCGGCTGGATCAAGGGTACTGATGCCAACAAAAGCGTCGCGGTAAACTTGTCCAAGGTCCGCCATCTCAGCCGCTGCTCATCTGTGAGCGAAAATCAGCGTCCAAAAAAGTGTTCCATTTGCGTCTTACAGACGAATCTCTTTTTTTGCCATTGCCATACTATTGAACATCCACACATCCTTTCCAGACCCTTCCAGAATTACTGTAATCGCTGCCTCAAAGCTGCGCATCCATATGGAGGTTGTAGTGCGCTTTAGCGCTGGCAGAGCACGGCCCTTTCCCTGACGGTGACAGCTGCGTAGCAGTCTAACTTCAGCCAATCGTACCAACAATCAATAATGGCTGATTCTGCAGGATTTGCCGTTCTTCTTGGTTGCTTATTTTACATGTCACCCCACTTTGCACCGCAGCTATATTCTGTGCAACAGAATAGGCATCGAAATGCTTTCAGAATCAATAAAACTCTCACCATGTATTTGCCTCGCCTCGGATCACACTTCACCATTTGACTACCGGGTTCGAAGCAGGCGTTCGTGATGTCAGCTACAGTGTTTAATTCGTGATGGGCATTGTCGATAGCTACGAGTGGAGCGTATGTGATCAGTGGAAAATGGATTCGCGGGTATGGCACCTGTAAAAGCCTACTTGTGAGAGGTAACAACAGATGAGAAGCACTTACGAGGTTTGTTTGAAACTCGGTGAGATCGACATTCAGTGCTCCATCAAATCGTAACGATGCAGTGATAGAAGAAACAGTTTGCGCGATGAGGCGGTTGAGATTGGTGTAGGTAGGCCTGAACATTTGAGAATTCGTTTGAATCAAACTGCTATTTCTAATCACGCTCTGCTTTGACCGTGTACAGCAGACCGGCCGGGGACGGGTCCCTAAAATTTGGCATTTCTGCACGCATACGCATCCCCCATTTTTGACAATGAGGAATGCTCATCGACTGGAGTAGAGACGCAGAGATTTGGGGTCCCATCCTAGCCGGGTCCTGCTGAACACGGCTTCCGAAGGAAAGCTATGCGCCCTTTCTCAGTAAGACCGTCGTCGATACATTTACGATGATGCCCTTTCCCCTTCCTGGTATGGACGGGCGCGTGTTGAAGGTTCACTTCACATCCTTTTCTGTAGAAAATGAACAAAGCATAAACAGCAAAAAGTAATCTTAGAAATCAGCCGTAACCAGTTTAGAACGTCTAATATCAATAAATATGCAAAAAATACCACACACGGTGGTTAGGGGACTATTCACGCCAATACTAGCCCAAATGGGCTGCCATAGGCGTGAATATTTTAAGGAGTTTCGATCAGAGGAGCGGAACCATATGACACCATGCGACACAAAAGTTTCAGTTACTATGTACAGCATCTCGTGTTAAATGTACATAATTGAACATACTAGGTTGAGAGGAACGTCCCTCAACTTCCCGTAGCTCGATTTTCTTGGAATTTATTTTCTATTTCTTCTTCCCTTTTTTGAGCGGAAGTGGTGTAGTGGCAAGTGGCACGCTCACCACGCGAGCGGTCCGGGGATCAAATCCTGGGTCGTGAGTCGCCCGGGCCAACCAAGCCTTCCATCCCTCCGGGGTCGGTTAATTGGTACCAGACTTGTCTGGGAGGATAAAAACACTGACTTGTACATCGGCTGGCCTCCGCACCAGGGTGAATATCGGTCGAGGAAATCCTCGACAGGGGGGTCGTACCTGTTGGGCTGGTCATGGGGGGTCGTACTCTTGGGGGTCAGTAACAGCAGTGGTATCGTGGTGCAGATAGGTAAGAGGGTATAGCGCAGCAGAAAATGAAAATATCTGAAAAAAAATGATATTAAATTTTCTTTGCAGGTTCAGTCGCTCCATTCCTCCACCTTCATGAGAAGGGCGTATTTGAAGGCAGTACAAAGAATGAAAGTGCATCCCCGCAAAGAAGACTGCCACATGTGCGCACGCGCTGCAAAGGCACCTCCTCTGCCTATCGCTCGCTCCTTCTCCCTTAATACCTCGCTGAGAATGACACTGTTGTTAGGGACCCTGTCGCAAAAACGACAACCGTGAAGGAAAAGCCTGGGCAAATGGTTGTAGGGAGTTACGAAATGCGTTTACTACAATGCAGCTTCTGTCAACTGGTCATGATCATATGACACCTTCGAATCGATTCTGCAACTTCGAGTGAGGTCGGATGCATGGCCTATACCAGACAATCGAATGATGCCGATGATAACGATTGCCCCTTTCCACTGCATATGTTAGGGAGGATGTTTTCGGAGACGCCATTTCGAGGAGGGTGTGGCGCAAGCGGAATGTGACACTGGGGGTGGTGCAATGCTGGTGAACTAGGAAATGCTAGAAGGAAGTAAGAAACGGCGGTCAGAAAGCGCAAACCTTCCGCTTTCCAAAACTATCTTCCCTTTTTCAGGATCTTACAATATAAGAGATATATTGCTCTTGAAGTGGCAAAAACTCGCGTGAAAATTTGGGCCTCCTCGACATTTACTCGACGAAATTTGAGAGACCCTATCTTTCTGCATGGAAGGCTTCAGAGCAATTTCAATACTTCTTGGAAACGCGAAATCCAGCTCTATCTAACTCCTACCTCAAACTGCTTCAAAGGTTATGAAATGGAGGAATGCAACCTTTTCATCGAGGGTGTAGATTTCGGACGGTTTTTTTTTCGGGATTTCGGCAAATCTGACCCAGTGACAATCGCGCCGCAGCTGCCGTTGAATCGGCCTTTTGATACACTCGGCTGTTTTGATATACTCAAGCAAGAATCAAGATTGAATCGCAACCCCGTGCCTTCAGGATTTCTGTGCATTTCTGAACGAACCTGACTTTGAGGTCACACAAAGTTAATGCCTCTTTCCTCGAGTCGATTCATTTCAGTATGTACACAAAAGTGTGCAGCGATGAAAGACAGTGCATAGATGACAAGATGAAGCGTCCTTAGCATTATTTTGCAGAATTTTTTTTTGATTTGTTTTGCAGGATTTTTTGATTTTTAATTGAATTAATTTGCTCTGTTAGGGGGGTCGTGCCAGGATCTCGATTTCGGGGGGGGGGTCGTACTTCTGCGACCACGTACTCGACACGATTTTCACCCTGCTACGTCATAGGCCACATCGCATTCAAACGCCACTACGAATGTACAAATGGAAGTAGAATGCGTGCCGCATCCCAAAAAGGGATTGATCAACGGCAAATGCTTTATCCTTTTATCTTTATTCTTTGTTCTTTATTTATTCAGAGGGCCGCAACATAATGATCAGGAGATATTGCTCATTAAATAACTATTTTCTGTTAATGCAAAGAAGACAAGATTGAGTTGGATTCTAGTTGAAGGGGGATGCTGGATAAGCTGCAGCGGCAAAGAAGGCAAAGAAATCCGTCTAGAACACGCAAAACGGAGCCCTTTAATTGGCCCATTGACCTTCTATAGTGCACGAGCCAACTCAATGAAGGGTTGTCTGCACGTGCTGAACTGATAGCCACAATATTCCTATTGATAACTCTGATAACGCTTTTCACAGAAAAGTTATTGATACGATGATGCTGGTGGGAGGAGGACAGGCAGAGACGGAGCTCAGAGAGGATTGCCAAGGCCAGTGAAGCTGCAACTAATGCACCTCTGGCTGCTACATGACACCTCGCTTCGTCCAACAACTCTTTCCATAGCGCATGGACCTCTATTCTGCACACACACTTTCTCCCTCTTTTTGAGGGTCATTGATGAAATGAAGGATAAAGATTTTAATGATGTTCATGGGGTGTTTCAGAAATTCTTCTCTCAACCTACTACAGCATGTCTGTTTATTTACCTACTGTGTAGAAAAAGTATGACTGACCCGGAATGCTTCCTTTTGTTGAGACACCGACAAGCCTATGAAAAATAGTTTGGTAATGAGGGATATTCTCCACCACTCGGTTGGCAATCACATTGTTTGTCTCAACCAGAATAAGTATGCAATCTATTACAGATGCTCGCGAACCTGGCCAGATCAAGCTTTCTCCGACAGATGTCATAGATAGCCTCATTGTCGGCCATAAACGAACAATCTGAATGTTCTAGCGTGGTGTGAGTCATCAATATTGAGTTGTAGGGCTCAACCATTGACGTGGAAATCTGAACGAGAATCATTGCTTCTCAAGACAAGTACCAAAAAGTAATCCAAAACGTCAAAAGATTTAAAATTGGCCTCAGTTGTTTTGGATGTTAGGTAGATGTTAACGCTTCCACAGCCGTAAGATAGCTAAAAGGTGGCCGTGAATTATGGTAAGTAGGTGGGGTGTTCGTGGAAAATCTACACAACTGAAAAAGCCAAAAGGCAAACATAAGCATATCCGTTGAAGGTTGATAAACAATGATTAAGTTTACTTCCTAAATTATCTGACGGTTGCACTGAAAGCAGCAAGGTTCTCCAGCCACCCGCTCACAGCGGCGTATTGGTGGTTAACGGCCAATGCTTTTCCTAGCTGCACTTACCATCGGAATGGGCCTTTTTGCACTCATGGGGCCTTCACCTTGAGGCTGTCTGATAGTCTTGAAGTCATTGTCAAAATTATCTCGGCCTTGTTTTTGATTGTGCAACTGCTAAAGCTTTCAGCTTCGCGGTTCACTGCCGATATCGGCTAACCGGCTCAACACGTTATACGTGTGAGTGCTGAAAGCTATGGTACGTATACCATGAAAAGCTGAGTTGGAATGAAATGGTGCCCCGGTAGCGTAACTGGTAGCGCACTTGCCCGGAAAGCGAGAGGTGCGGGTTCGAGTCCCGCCTGGGGCGAAAGTTTTGTTCACAACCCAGCATTCTTGTGAAACATTCGCAAGGCGAACGCGCCATGCACTTTGTCACAGAAGCACTTCCTTCCCTTCC